ATTAAGACGTTGAGCAATACTCGAATGCAAACGAGGCAAAAACATGCAGTCGTGATTGATAAAATGTTTGATTAATTATATGTCTTATTTCAATATGTATGGAAGTTAATTAAAAAAATACAAGCTTGATTGATAACATGTTTGATCCTTTTTTTTCTTAATTAAAGAGAGATGGAACGAAAGAGGAGTAAAGAAAAAGAAAACTTTGAATGATGAGGCAGGTGGGTGCGTGGGGGCAAGAGTTAGTTGACAGTGGATTTGGACAGAATTGATGCCTTTGTTTTGACATGGTGTGTCCTCATAGGCACTGGATTCCCGTTCACTTCTTTCCGTTTCCATTATTTTACAGCATTTCAATAAGAATTATGCTCCTTGTATATGGAGTTTGACACTTATTTGCAAATTCAAAAATGAAGTGGCGGAAAAGTGTGTTGTATTTTTAAACTGGTCAATCGTGCTGCAACATGTAGCACAATGTCAAATTTGATGTCAAAAGCAATGTACTTGTAGCATGATTGTTTCAATAATCAACTTTTTATATTTTAATTTATTCGTATTTAATGAAATAGAATTTCTCTATTTTTTTCTCATTTTAAATTTTGTGCCAATATAAACAAAGATAGAATGAAAATATTATGAGTGAAAATTTAATTCTTCTGCAACTGCAAGCAGTGTTCTAAAATGCGTAATGCGTTGCGATGCGTCGAGGTCGATAATCAAGAATCACAAGTTTAAGGTGTCAATGCGGAGAATAGGCGTCATAATGCGTTTCGTACTTTTAATATTATTTTAATATAATAAATATATTTTTATATAAAAAAAACAATTTTTTATATCATATAAAAAAAAAGAAACAAAAATTTTTTGTCGTCTTAATGCGCGCATAGGCTCGCCTGATGCGAGCCTAGGTGCGCCTAGGCGGTCAACAAAAACTGTTATCGCATTTTTACCCGCATTGCCCAATTTGACGCGATTTCTACTCACATCGCGCCTATGCGCGCATTTTAGAACACTGACTGCAAGTCACTGGAAAAAAGAATTTAAACACGGCTCGACAAATCATTATGAAATGTACGGCAATTTAAAAGAGAATTATTGTAGTTAAAAAGTAAGGACTCGTATTAGATAATACCATTACGGCTTTTGAGCATATGCATTCGATGAAGAGGCAAATGAATTGAAATTTGAGTTATTTGCTACAAAATTAGATTTGAGCATGACGTATGATCGTGTTGGATATGTTTTTATCCTAAAAGTTATAAAAAAGATGGATTTTTTTATAATTGGAGCCGACTTGTTAAGAAATGTACCTTATCTTTTTAATTAATGGAGGGTCACATGGACACGGGGCTTACGACAAGATTATCCACTATCCTTATATCTTTTTCTCCTATGTACACAAGGGTTCTCACGTCTCCTTCTACGGGTTGAAATTGACTCACACATCATAGGGTTCAATTTTTCTTGCCAAGGACCTCAAATTATCCACCTCTTCTTTGCCAATGACCGTCTAGCCTTCTGTCGAGCTACCTCGAATGCCTGGACTGTCGGTTATTAAAGAAGTGATGGATATCTAAAGTCACATCAGGCTAGCAAGTTAACATCATGAAATGGGCCATATACTTCACAGGAAACACAATAGCTAATTCTTTTTCTTGGAATGGAGCGCATCAAACTACACAGCAAGTATTTGGGGTTGCCATTTGTTAAATGGTGGAGCAAGAAAAAAATATTTAAAGGCGTGAAGGATAGAGAATGGCAGGAATAGAAACTATAAGGTGGAGAAAGTTATTTTCTATGAGGCAAAGAGGTCGTTTTAAAAGCTGCGGTGCAAGCAATCCCCACCTATACGATGGGTGCATTTCAGTTTCCTATAGGGTTAGTTTAGTTATGTAATGAGATTAAAAGGCTTGTTTCATCTTTTTGGTAGGGTAGAACAGACGGAAGGGACAAATTACATTGGCTGTCTATGGAACAAAATTATGTATCGAAGAATCGTGGAAGGGTTGGTTTTAGAGACTTAAGAGTAGTTTAATCAGACGTTGTTTGCTGTTTCAGAGACTTTGAGCTGTTTAATCAGGCGTCGATTGCTAAGTAGAGTTGACGGATTCTCACTCATTCGGATTCCTTCGCGACTCGAATCTTACATGAAAAGTACAATGTTGTCTGTTTATACATGCTAGTGTTTCATGTGGGTGTTCCTATTTATAGAGAAGCATCCTTACGGGACGGGAACCGTTGACGAAAGTAAAAGTCCATTGTCTGTTCCCAACCTTTCCTCTTATTAATAAACTTTCAAAAACACAAATTTGCCTTTATCTTTAAATAAAAAACAATTAAATAAAATACAAAAATTAAGCAAATATAGAAACAAAATTCATCTCATTTCTCAACCATCCCACTGAAGACCATCGCCACCCCCAAACGCCACAATGCATGACACTTATCTTTTCAACTACCAGGGGTGTTTGATGCACATTTTTTAGAAAAGAATGCATTATATGATGTGATAAAAATATGTGGTTAAAAAATAAGGGAAAATATTGGATTTGAGTGTAATATTATTTTATTAAAAAATGTTTGGTGAATTTTGAAAGAATAAATTTTAAGAAGAATGTGGATCAAACAAGGCCTCATTATTTTTTTTCTTGACTCTCCACTCGGGTCAAGATTACATGTGCCATGTAAATAAGTTAGAAGTATTGTGTCACAAGTCATTACTTTTTTTTTTAATTCAAGAAAAAATTGATGATAAAAATATATTTGATAATTGAGATTAATAAGATGAGATTCAAATTCTCTTTTGAGTAATTACTATCGTCGCTTTAATTATAGAGGAAATTACCGCCTCACAGGTTTTTAATATACAATTTTCATAAATCATCAACTTTAATAATACACAAATCAAGTTTTAACTAATGATTTTTAATTAATTTTTATTTAAATCAATCATACACAATTTCAAACCCTAATTGTTTCATTTTCTCACCCCTCTATCTCTCCCTACCGACCCAATTTCTCTCCCCTCTTTCTCTATCCCCGTCGCCACCACCCTGACGGCACCACCATCGCGCCGGTACCACCACCGCCTCTATTTATTATCACATCTCACCCTCTCTCCGTCGTGAAGCCTCTCCTCTCGCCCTTTCTTCGCTGCGAAGCCACCGCTGAGTTAGACGAAATTAATGCTGGTGGTGTTGGAGGTCTTGTTCATGTTAATGGATATCAGATTTTGCAACATCGGCCGACCAAGGCGCTGATACCAAATGGACATCAATTTTTATTTTATTGATAGCTTGTTGATAGTGCCGCAGTGCTATCCGTTGATTAGATCGGGTGAGGTGTTGGTGATGTGTGGTTGTGGTTATTATTCTAGCAGCGGCGGTTTTGGTGATGTGTGTGGTTGTGGTTGGATCTAGTGCAAGGTGGTGGTATGCGCTGATGGTGGGCTGCGTTGATGGCGGTGTGGGCTGTGTTGGGGTGCGAGGTGGTGGTGGTGGTGACTGTAATTGCGCCGACATGGTGGTGGATCTGTGGTGGTTGCGGTGGTCTATGAGATCTGCGAGAAGCGAAGCAGATTTGTGAGAGGAGACGGTAATTGTTCTGTGGTTGTGTGCAGTGGTTTTGTTGGTGGCGATGGGCATGTCAAGGTGGTGGTGGATCGGTGCGAGGATGCGGTGATTTTTTTTTGCCATGTGTTGATTTGTTTGATGTGGTGTTGCTGTCAAGAGGTGGTGGTGGTTCTGGCGACGATGGTGACAGTGGTGTTGCTAGAGGGAATGATAGGGTGGTGGTCACAAGTTGGTGGTGGTTACAGGTTATTTGATCGTTTGTGACCATTAAATTGGTTAATCTGTAACCAATAAACCATGTGTGACCAATTATATGTAACCTAAGAATTATTAATTTATGATCAATAATTTGATAAATTGTGACGTAAATATAATTTGTAATCAATTAATTTGATGTTTTGTAACGATAAAATATGTTTTGTAACGATAAAATAAGTTATGTGACTTATAAATTTTGTGATTTGTAACCGATGAACAAACCGTGACCTATAATTTTTTTGAATTGTGACCTTAAAATTTTTGAATTGTGACTAAATTGCATAGATCTGTAACCTTAATATATTTAATTAATTAAATCATAAATAAATTTTAATAAAAACTTGATTTTTGAACTTTAAAACCTCTATCCTTAATTTTGAAATGATGTATACTAAAAACCTGATTTATGTATTGTTCCCTTAATTATAACTAGGCTCAAGTTCACAACCAATTTGTTTTCAACGAAACCACATCAAACCTTTATAGAAACTTATAGAAAAAATATTTAAAAAAAAATCTCATTTTTTTAATTTTTTGAATGAGATGCATCCAAAAGGAAAATGAACTTAGTTAAGACTAAACCAAGCTCCATGATTTATATGATTTGAGATAGACTACATGTACATGGCCTTTTTCATAGGCCTCTGTTAGGCCACACACATACATGGGGCCCGCGTGCAGTTTTTTTTTAGGGAAAAGCTAAACAGACAGGATTTGGGGCCAGGGTTTGGTGACCAACGCCACATGGCGCCCCATCCAATGGGGCGCCATGTGGCGTTAGTCACCAAACCCTGGCCCATGGGGCGCCATGTGGCGTTAGTCACCAAACCCTGGCCCCAAACCCTGTCCCTCTAGCAAAGTCCTTTTTTTTATTACACGTGGGGTCCTCCGCTACTGTGAGGCCCTGTAAGTCCCCTGTGAAGAGTACCTCTATACTTGGGGCTTTGTTCATATGATTTTGTAAGGGTGACATTGGATTGGGCTCAACTGGCAGCCTTGACGGCTCAGTCCTTAAAATTAGGCCTGCAAGTCAGATAAACCAAGCTATATGGGCCTAATTAAACGGCTAGCAGCATAATGAACTTCAATTTTTCCTTTTTTTCTTTCCCAATCCCAAATTATACAATCCTCCCTACAAAATGTCATTGAAAGCTAAATCTAACTTAACATATTAGGCAATATTACATCTATCCCTTCTTTCCCTTTCAAACTAATGGAGGTTAGAGTAGTTGGCTAGTTTGCCTCAGACAACCTCCAACTATATAAACAATGCTAAGGAGAAACCACAAGACAAATCGAAAGAGATGCATCAAGAATCATTCTTTCTACACCATTCAACGGGAACAATTTCTACCAAATCGTTATAAACATTCCCTGAAAAGGTCTTACAAACAGAAAATTAGACCAATTTACAGATCTGTTCTGCGTCGAATTTTAGCATCACTTCACAACTTTCAACATAGTACATGTGCTTCATAGCATATATCTTCATCTAAGAAAATGAAATACTATCAGATCATGTTAGGCTTCAGTCTGACTTCTAAGTCACATGGTCTCATATGCACAGTCTGTCAGTAAAAGGACAATCTAAATGAACCTTCAAAATATCAGGTCCAAGGTCTCAGTAAACGACTTCCTTCGAAAGCTCAATCAATATTATTGATAATTTCTTGTAAATGGTCAAGAACAATCCGAGCAACAATCTCGGGAGAAAACCTTCTGCTCATGTCGTTCCTTGCCTGCCTTCCCCTAGCCTTAGCTTCCTCAGGATTGCTCATTGCATGCCTCATCAGAAGTTGCAACTTATCAACAGAGGGTTCGGCCCATAAATGCCCCTTAAATGGTCCTTCTTTCACTTCACTCATTCTATCAACAGGCAAAGGATAGCTATTCTCATCGGTCAAATACTCAGTTGGCCCTGACCAGTTAGTAGCAATCACTGGCAATGACATTGCCATTGCCTCAACCAGGGGCCGACCCCATCCTTCCCCTCTAGATGGAAGAACAAAAGCATCAGCTGCTTTATACAGTCGAGGCAGATCAACCTGTGCTATATGTTCATCTATAACATAAACACGAGCCCAGCCATTAGTTGGTTTCTCCAAATCCGAGCCCTCCACGTACTCAATAATTTTGTTACCAAAATCTTTATCTGAGTGATAAGGGTTCGTCAACAAATACAATGCAACATTATCAACTCCAGAAAATTCCATCAGATAAGACTTCAATAACACATCCCATCCCTTCCTATGCTCCCATTTAAACACACTCAAGAAAACAAACCTTTCTTCCAATTTTAATCCTGTCAAATCTGATCCAAGTACCAGAGTCCCTATGGAGGACAAGTCCAATGGCTTGTACTTGGATGGATCAAAAAACTCCAAATCAACAGACTGAACAATTTTCTTGACCTTCAATGGATCGACCCCACTTCGCGTAAAAGCATTAACATGGAACTCAGTAGGAACCCAAACAAAATCCATCCCATTACATCGCCCCACGTGCTCGGAGTTCACTCTATCAGTCTCAAACATGGTCCTCCCAATGACAACCTTAGAATGACCATAGCCCATTGGTGGGCACGGCAGAGTATCAAAAAGGGGAGGATACCAAGCACCAGGCTCACTGTGACAAACCACGACCGTCTGATTCAATCTGCATTCAGATTGGTAAAGCTCAATAGCCAAATTTCTCATTTTCAATGGCAAACCCTCCCAGAATTCTAGATTTTCTTGATCCCCATGTTGTTCAATGCTCAACCTAAATCGTGAATTCTTATGGGATTTCAGGTAATTGCTTAAAGCTAATATATAAGACCAAGCTTCTGAGCTATACCCACCTCCTGAAAGAAAAGGAGCCATCCATAGAACACAAAACGGAGATTCCGATTCGCCAGAGGGCATTTGAGAATTTTGATTATGCTGCTTCTGCATTGGGTTTGGGTAGAAAAAATTTAGGAGTTTATAGCGAGAAAGGATCGATTTTAGATTGTATAATTTATAGTGATTTGTTTTGGTTATACTGAATGAGATCGCCAATAACACTACTAAGATAGACAATACAAAAAAGGGTTTCATTTTCGAAATCAAACGCGGAGAGTGATTTTCTGTTTCATCCGAATCCATCACTTACAAATAATTACGCACGTAGAAAGAAATGCATATAGAGAAAGAGGGTACTAGAATATGGGAACGGTGGTTCCAGCCCTGCTGCTGCCCTCTCGACAAATTCACCGGAGGCAATGGTACGGTTTTATCTGTGTTTTAGCTCCCATTTTCAATATATATTCACGCTTTAAAATATTGAGTAATCCCATTTGTACTTTTTTTTTTTTTTTTTTTTTTATTGGATCTTGCTTCATGTACATCAAGATTGAAGTAAAGATTTATACAATGTCACATGACACTTTATCGTTTGTCAATTTAAAATACGATTAGCATTTTCATCTAAATATTTCCCTCCAATCATCTTCGGTGCTGCTTTTGAACGTTGCATTATGTACAACCAGCATAATTCCTTTTTATTTCCCTTAAAACATGATATCATATGGGAGGAAATAATTGTCTTTTAAGTGCAATTAAATGTGGTGATTTAGCACTTTTGTTCTTAACGATGTTTCGTGACATTCTTATTTTCAAACTTTACATTACCTATACACGTTTTATATTTGACACCACTTTTATGTTCAAAAGTCAATTGAAATAGCGTAAAATAACTTATTTTTCATCATTTTTTTTAAAAAATAAATAAATAAAAAGTGCGAAAAAAATATTTTCCCTTATTTCAAATAATGAAAATAAAGTATTTTGATATAAATTATCATTAAGGACGAAACGTTACTTGAAGATAAAAATTCGACGAAAAATTTAAAATATTAATTGTTACAATGAACAAAGATTGAAAAATTTAACTGCAATTAAAATATGATTTATCAAATAAAAATTGTGGTTGTTATATAACCCACCTAAATAATATCTTACTCCCAAAGCATTTTAGTCACTTGGCAAAAAAAAAATTTTCTTATTTAATTTAAGGTATTTATTTATGGATCTATGGTAGCAAGTAAGCAGCCCCATCGAGCAGATCCGAAAGCAGACCAATGCGTCCAAAAAATCTTCTCTTCACTGCATGATTAGTGGGCCCCTTGTTATCATCAGCCAAAGAAAATGACATGGTCCTTAAATTTATAAATAAAATTTATTTTATTGCTATTGCATATCGATTTTTCTTTAATTTTTTCACCCTTCATCGATACCAAATTGTTGAATACCAAAGATCATGTATTCAAGTTTTATGCAGCATATTCATGAAAATTGTGTACATTCCAACTTTTAAGAATATAGAAGAACTCGTGGAAGATAAATTCATAATTTTTCACCATAATGGTGTCCATACACAAATAAGTAGTGAGACCCATCTGAATATTTTATTTGAATGGGTCCCACAACTTGTGTGTGTATGGACACCATTATGGTGAAAAAATTATGTACACTAAGCATGGCTCTTTCTAAAAAATCATTTTAAAATATTATTTTTCTCAATTTCTCTTTATAATACCCAATCGAATGGAGACTTCGGAAAGTTCGATCGTAATTTATACTTGAAAAAGGTGAATTTAAAAATAAATAATTTTGTTATTAACCACTGTTTGATAGGAATTTAAATTTAATTATAATTATAATTAATAATTAGTTTTAATCATATATTTCGTGAAATCTGCAACTTTCCAACCATACATTTTACTAATTTTTATCAAAATTTACTAAAAATTTAATTTTAATCTTCATCCAACGCGGGCCTTATAGCTGTTCATTTGCTAGTACAATCTAAGGTTAAAAAAAACCTACTTTTAAATTTCTTCTTATTTTTAGGTTGATTCCAATCCAAACTTTGAGATTACTCTACATACTCATTTTCAATCACAAGTTCACACGATAAAATATTATGCACGTAAATTCAATTTTTTTTCTACTTTTAATCACACACTCTCCCCTAAAAATAACATTTAAAATATTATTTTTGAACCAAAAAAAAAAACCCATCAAATAGGGGCTTAGTTTCTTGTAATAGCTAGTTAGAAGTTCATACGCAATAGCTAAGCACTAAAAAGTTATTGACTATATGCTTAACACATTTAAGTCGGACTAAGATTTGATTCCAAAGTGAATATATAAAATTACTTGTGGAAAGGCATGCTAAATTTATATAGTTATTAAATTTCTTTTAGTGTAATTTAATTATAGACTTACCATCAAATAAATATATAGCATATTAATTTTTAACTTTCGATAATAAAATTATTTATTTTAATGTATGAATAAAAATAATGTAAAAAAATTTATAGGGTTGAGATTTGAAACAAAGAATTCTATAAATGCGAAAAGTTTCATTAAAATAAGTCACACGAATGGCAGATAAAATGGAAAGCGGAAACAATCGGTGGAGATTGAGGGGTCTTGAGGAATAACTAAGGTTGCATATCTTAGTGCTTGTTTGGTTTAAATTATAATCTCCTAGTTTAAAATGATCAAAATCAAATTTTAATTTTAACCTGTTCGTTTATATCAATTATAATTTTAGCAGCTTATAATTTCTCCCAAACAAATGCTTAATGTGTGTTTGATTGACTTCATTTTTTATGAAAAATGCTGTTTTCCGTCCAAGTTCCTACTTTTAGGATGTTTGATTATCATTTTTCATGGAAAATTTTTTCAAAAATTGATCACGTGGTCATATTTTCCTTAAAAATCAACAAAAATATATACACTTTTCTTTTGGGGTTTGGCCGGGGGGTCGGGGGAGTACCAATAAAAGATGAAACAATACAACAATTTTTAGGTTGAAAAAAATATAATCAAATATATTTAATTGACAATTTCCATGCAAATAAGTTTTAGGGTGCGTTTGATTGTAAATGTGGAAAATTGATGAAAAAAAAAATGTTTTACAGGGAAAAGATTTGCCTAGAAAATGTTTTGCAGAGAAAATGATTTCAAGTGTGTTTAATTGGTATAATTTTTCACCTAGAAAATTTTTAAATTTTCTATTCGTTTGGCTTTATTTTACATAAAAATTGTCATTAAAGTGATATTTTTTTTCTACAATTGGTTATAAAATTTATTTCCATTGCCAAAAAGTAAAAAAAAAAGGAAAAAAAATTGTTTCCTAAAAAATTATTTTTTTATCAAAGTTTAGTGTTCGTTTGACTTTGTTTTACATGAAAATTGTCCATTAAAGTGAAATTTTTTTTTACCNTCGTTTGATTTTATTTTATATGGAAATTGTCCATTAAAGTGAAAAAAAAATTTTACAATTGATTATGATATTTGTTTCCATTTCCAAAAAAAAAAAAATTTGCTTCAGCCGGTTGGAAAATATTTTCCCAACAAAATGTTAGGAAAATATTTTCAAGGAAAACCAAGAAAATGCTGACGTGGCGGGTGGGGTGGGAAAATACTTTTCGGGGAAAATTTGGACTATCAAACAACACAAAAGATGGAAAACGAAAAATATTTTCCTACTTCCCTGGAAAATTTCGCCAATCAAACGCGCCTTAGACAATTCAATTACCTAAACTTATTTTCTTTCTATGCAAGTTCTATACTTGCAATCAAACACACCCTTAGTAAAACACTTGCACTAGAAGCATGATAATGTAATAAAGTTAAACTAGTTATTTACATACATGTCTACCACATCAAAGATGAAGAACAAAGTTTTCTGACTGATTATTTATTGAGGATGAAACAACAAAATAGTCTAGAAAACAACTTCTAGCCATTCGAAATCAAATTTCACATTTTCACATCTTTGACGGCATACGGGTCAAGCTGGCTTCAATCGATCCATGTGGTTCATCTGTCGATAAATATACGTCATCTTCAAACTGCATTTAGGCAAATTGACAAGCCTTAGCTATGAAAAATAAGTGCTGAAGAATATGTAAATAACGGAATTATGAACATTGTTCTTTACTTATCGTGCTCAAAATGTATGGAATCCTACCTTAAAAATAACTGGATTGTCCTTGCTTGATAAACTGACTGGTAGAAAGTGAATATTTGGCATTTTTAACTGAACTGATGATATATCAGGAAACCTAGAATGACGAATCAAAAGTTGAGCAACATAAACTAGAATCAAGTAAAGCATTCCACAAATGTTGAAAAAGCATCGTGACCTGCCAAGAACTGCCTTCGCCATGTAATAGAGACTACTTTGAATAGACGGGTTGTATACTCCCTCTTCAAGATGGCCAAAGAAAGTGTCAACCAAAACCTTTTTCACGTCCATATCTCTCCAGGAAGTAAAATTCTTTAGCAGGGATACTTTTGAGAGTTTCAAAAGAATACCTACATCATGACTATATAGTGTTGTTTATATTCTGTAACTTCAAGAATGAGATGCATTAGTCTGGTTACCAATCCAATCAAGATCAGAAAAAGAAACCAACAATACATAAACTTCTCAATTAAATTTTGAATTGGTTGGTGTTGGGAATAAAGAGCCTATGTAGACACAATGTACACAGCATTAACAGAGTTCTAGCAGCTCAACTTAACCAATGTCAGATCTATAATATCAATCCCAGAATCAACATTAACAATATGTAATCAATATATATCAATGGCATTTACATATATATTAGAAACCAGCAGAATATATATAACCCATGCAAACTGAAATCAGAACTTGTCTAAGACTTGTAAATGGACAGAAACTAAAGGTTTAAAAACGGGACAGAAACTTCCCTTTCATCAGTCCGGCTTTCCTCCTTCAATGGCTGTTCTTCCTTGTTGCTGGCCGAATCTACTTGGCTCAGAAACAGTCACTTCTAAGCTTTGCAATCGCCATCCATAGAGAGGTAAGAACCGGCAAAGAACACTCACACTTGACTAGGTCATCGATCCAAAAGGATCTACCATAAATCAGTCAAGAAGAAACCCCAATCTGACCCAAAAAACCTTCAAGAAAGAACCAACAGCTTAACCCTATTTCAGGTCTAAGCAACACATGGGTTATCACTTCTACGACAGGTTTAATCGATTGGTTTAGAGTGAACTTCCAGAGAAAGAAGAAGAATGGAACCAGACAGAGAGAAACCAAGAAGAGGATCGTGCCCTAGAAGGAAGTCGAGAGTTGTGTATCAAAGAAGTGAAAACCCACGTGATATAGATTCAAAATAAGGCACACAATCCGGATCAAACAATTGGCCCAAAGGTGTTAAAGAGAACCATCAAAATAGGCCCAATAAGCCCACAAACTTCACCTTGGTTCTCGTAACACATTCTCTCGGTTGCGAATTGTACATGAAAGTACTATTCATCATCATCGCCCACTACCTGCAATAAAAATTAACGAGTATCAATATGCAGCAAAGATAAGCATAATTTAAATTTTCCTACAGGTAAAATTTTAGTTCCCACATCAGAGGAATTTCTATCAGTGTGAATCTTAACAAGTTCAAATTCACCTTGAGAAAGCTTCTCACGTATAAAATGATACTTCACCTCAATATGTTTGGATCTCTCATGATAAACAGGGTTTTTACTAAGTGACAATGCACTTTGACTATCAGTAAACATAATAGGTGTATCATGCACAAAGTTCAATTCTTTTAAGATTCTCTTTAACCACATACATTCCTTAACCGCCTCGGTTATGGCAACGTATTCAGCTTCAGTACTAGATAGAGTCAATAAGGGTTGCAGCTGAGATTTCCAAGTTATGCAATTATCACCTAGGGTAAAGAAGTAAGCGGTAGTTGATTTCCTACAGTCTCTATCACCAGCAAAGTCAGAATCAACATACCCTTTAAGAGTCAACTTCTCAGATCTTTTCTCATATACTAAGCCTAGATTTAAAGTCTCAACCAAATACCTCAGTAGCCATTTCATACCCGCCCAATGCGGCTTACCAGGGTTGGACATAAATCTACTTTAGAAGACTGATGGAAAATGCAAGATCAGGTCTGGTAGTAATCATAGAAAACATGAAGAACCTATGGCATTAGCATACGGAATATTTTCCATCTCTTTCAATTCAGATTCGGATTTAGGTGAATGATCACGTGAAAAATTCATATGACTAGAAAGTGGCGCATTAACAATTTTACTGTCTTTCATTCCAAATTTTGTTACAACTTTGTTCAAGTACGCTTCTTGTGAAATTGTTAACCTATTCTTAGCCTTATCCCTTGTTATCACCATCCTTAGAATCTTTCTAGCATTCCCTAAATCCTTCATATCAGATTTCGATTTTAAAAGATCTTTCAGTTCATTAATTTGAGTCTTGCTAGATCCAGCTAATAGCGTATCATCGACATAAAACAACAAATAGACTTCACAACCACTCTTTATGTCATTAAAATACAAGTAAGCATCAAATTCACTTCTCTTAAACCCTATCTTCAGTACAAAAGCATCAAACATCTTGTACCATTGTCTTGGGCTCTGTTTCAGCCCGTACAAAGATTTCTCCAACTTGCATACATACTCAGACTTGCCTCTAGCTACAAACCCTTGTGGTTGGCTCATCAAAATATCCTCTTCCAACTCTCCATGTAAAAATGCAGTCTTTACATCGAGTTGTTCAAGTTCCCAATTGAATTGAACAACAAGAGCCAACATCAGTTTGATCGTCTTGTACTTAACCACGGGTGAAAATATCTCATTATAGTCCACATCCTCTCTTTGAGTATAACACTTAGCCACTAATCTCGCCTTGAACCTCGCATGATTATTAGTGTCTAAACATTCCTTCAACTTGTAAATCCACTTACATGGAGCTAATTTCCGATCTTTAGGTTTTTTAACAAGTTTCCAGGTTTTGTTATCACTCAAAGATTTCATTTCCTCCTGCATCGCTTTTATCCAATTTTCAACATATTTTCCATTAATAGCTTTTTCATAATTGGCAGGTTCTATCTGTTCAAGAACTTCACCTGAAACTAATGCAAACTCAGTCAAACTTAGGAATTTATACCTAGGGTTCGGCCTAATCTGCCGTCTCGCCCTATCCCTAGTGAGTTGATAATCTTGATTAGGTGGCTGATCATTAAAATGTTCAATTTCAGCTCGTTTAGTGTTATCTTGAAATTCAGTCACCTCTTCAGGTTCAGTTTCAGTTTCAGGTTCTTGATGTGTAGGGTCATTACCGTCATTCCTAGGTGTAGGTGAATCAAGCTTAGCAAGCTTCGCTTCAGGAAAAAAACGTTTAAAACTGAAAATAAATGAAGGCAACTCGAAAAAGCATTTATTATGTTTAATTTTATATAGGTATGACAAAAAAAATGTAAAGGTATGTTTAATAATAGGGATGTATGTGTTAATTTTATGTTTTTACGTGCGAAGGAATTGAAACACGAAATGAGGGAAAAAAAATTTAAACTGAAAATAAATGAAGGCAACTCGAAAATGCATTTATTATGTTTAATTTTATATAGGTATGACAAAAAAAA